GAGCCGTCTGCTCCCCAGTATCCATAAGTCATTTGTCGCTCCGAAAATGAACCTCGAGCACTACCGAGAACTTTCACCGTGCACCTCAGATAAATCATCGACACCAGTAGCACTGGTGGTTGTCTCAGGACTCCCTCGGAATCTAAAAGACTGTTGCTGTTTCGAAGCAGGTTTAGATTGTTGCTGTTCTTGCTGCTGTTGTACGAGCTGTAATGGGTTGTGCAAGATCTCATTCCAAAGCTGTTCAGTCAACCGAAGTTGAGCCAGTCGGATCCAATGCAGATTTGGCTGGGGATGTTCAAGGCTATCCCTCAAGTGGAGGTATTTTCGTACACAACCCGCGAAGCCAGGTAGCTCTGATACTACTTGCATTGCAATAAGCACTGCAGGTATAAGCCATATTGCTGGTTTGGTCAAACCATTGAAAATCTTGCGCATGTCTTCCGTGGAATATGGCTGAGCTGGTTGTTTTGGATCAAGAGGCTCAATTGATGTGCCTGACCGGCAACCGTCATCGATGGTAAGTGTGGTTTTTATTCGTGATTATCTCATTTTGGTGTTCGGTTGAACCGAGGCTCCGGAAGACATCATCATGGATTCTTCCACCTATTGCACTGATGTTTGGAGTCCGAAGCAATATTAATTCCTTCAAATTTAGGTTGTCCTAGAGAAGCAGCACCGGCGAAAGCCGCATTTCCGTGGACAACAGGAATCATTAGTCAAGCGGCACCTATGTATTTTGATGGAACTAACATTGTGGGCATTATTGTAGGTGATTCTGTTGCACTGACCTTCCCGTTAGTACTCGAATGAACCAATAAATGGTTCACACCAGGCTGATCGCACAGATGATTACTCTGACAGATCACTTTATGCTTCAGGATGGGCTTGTGACTTTGCGCAGTTCAACCCATGCCCTTTGATATTTGTTGCTGTGACTGGTCCGCCGATCCAGTGTTTGTCTTTTCTCGCTTGGCCGAATGAACGACGGTACGATGAGGTAATTCCGAACATTGGTTCACTTCTCCGATGGGTGCTCCTTTAGTATTACTTTGTTCTAAATTTTCGTTCATCGCTTTTGTATATTTTCTCCCTTCCTGAAAGTTGAGGCAGTAGACTGTTATTATGTCTTCCGGGTAAAACCTAATAATTGGGGTGACCGTCCTCTCCAGTCAGCTCCACGGTATCTAAACTGGGTTCCCTGTCAGAACCACCTCTCTGTCTCCCCTATCTACTCAGAAAGCCCCATTGATAACACTCCGGATACTCGCAACCATTCATTGCTAATTAGTGTCTCAAATAATCCTGTCTTATAACCCACATTTTCTCAAGCTTCGTCAGCCTCTGAATCTCGGTTCCTATAAAATTCTTTCACTCATACAGGCCGGTCAGCAAGCGTGCCCAGCCCTCACAATGGACTCTCTGGCGGTTGATGTCATCTGTGTAAGTTAAACGCGTATCAAGGATTCGAGCAGCTTGAATAAATTAACTGTTACTTGTATCTCATCAGGATATTTCCGATGCACTTCAGGAGAAGAAGCAGTAAGAGCGGATGGGCAAATTGAAGTAAGATAACAGTACCTCTTTAAACTGGAACCTAGTTATAGTCGGTTATGTATCTTGGGACTCCAGGGGTTAGTTGGTGTTAGAAAAGATGGTTGTATTAAACGCAATTTGTTTGTGACCTCGGTATTCGCTCCAACATACTGCAGCTCTGACACGTAGAGCAATTAATTCTGTACTGAACCCACCACTACATTTTGCGGAGGCAAAGACTGTGGCATTGTAGTACTAGCTGATGATTCCATTGCACAAGTTGGCAAAATTTAGCAAATCAGAAACTCGTTTAGGTGGGGGCTATGCCTTACCCCCTCAACGCACAGATAGGCTTCTCCAGTTTCTGTGCAGACAATCGGTTATTCCTGTCTAGTACGAATTTCTGACTCATCTCGCGTCGCACAGAGATGCATCGCCCTCACTATACGGGTACTCTGAGCAAGATCGATCATATCGCAGTAAGCTACCGATGTTGCAGTTCTGTTCAGAACTGTAGATCTCGCTGGTTCACGTACTTGAATTCGGACCATGAATTAGTGGCAATACGATGATCTTCTCAGCTCCATGACAACTGAAGCAAACCACAAACCCGATTAACCGTACCGAGCTTGTCTGATCAAGAAACTCGCGACAGTGATGATCAAAAGCAGTCACATAAGCTAGGAACTATGATGGATAGTAGTGTGAGAGGGCTCAGGGCCCACATAAAATAGGCAACGCACTCGGCAGCGGGTTTCGCCTGTGGTCTTAGACTGGATGTCCATTAAAGACAATGGATTTTTCAGGTGTCACTCAGTCTGATAGAGCATAAACGTTAGCTCTCGAATTGTTATTAGATGAATAAGATACGAAGACATCCACGATGGCAAGTTACAAAAAGCCTAAGGAAGAATCGCGAAGATCGGTGAGTCAATGTAACCGGAGAAATGGAAGTAGCAGGTGCTTCAGGTAACAATCATAAACTGCTAAAACATATTCGCGACATCCGTGGTCGGATAATTCCAGTCAGTGAACCATATGCGATAAAGAATGAACAGCCTCTTCATGGCAAACAGCAAAGGCTCGTACGTTAAATTGAATAATTCAAGGAGCAGTTTAGCTGGCCGCTCACCAATGTAATTACTCTGATATCAACAACTGCGATTCGGCTGTCAGCAATACTTGGGCCCCCATCAGAAGCTGAAATAGAATCGAGCATCCAATTACTAAAACTTGCAAAAGCGAACTGTCCCCACGACCTTCCCTCAGTTCTCTTCAAAGTGAGACGTGGTGCTCTAACAAAAACATTTATCACTCCGCTCCTTGAATTCCGGTATAATGAAATGATTTATTGATTAGGCGCATCCTCAGTATAGTAAAACGCAGTGATTAATTTTGTCATCGTGTCATCACTTTGATTCTGACAGTCACGAAGGTATTAACCCAATTTTGCTGCGCCATCTGACATCAGCTCGCAAGAAAAAGCCCCGAACATCAGGCCGAATTCCACTCAGGTCGAGGATACATCGACCAGATTTTCACTCTTCGTCAATTACTTGAAATGCGTCAAACACATCGTACACCGACGATAATGGTATTTCTTCACCCTGAAGGAGCCTTCGATTCAGTTGATCAAATAGTACTGTTCGGTGCTGTTCACCGACAATGTGGCTCACAATATTGCGTAAACCAATTGAGACTATTGCATTGTTATACCTCAAACCACATAAAGTTTTACGATGAGCTGTCCAGTCGGTTCGAAATGACCAGTGAATTTTGCCAGGGGTGTTTCACTTCACCTTTTCTGTTCAGCTCCGACATAGACGTGACTCCTTGCAAAATCTCAAAAATGTGGGCTTCGAACTAGCAACAGTGAAAAGCTATGCTATCTACGATACGCTGAATACCTGCTCTGCTTTTTTAAACAAACAGCATATGCTCAACGTGGACTAGATGGACTCTCAAGAGCTCTAGTCCAATTCGGCATGCTTTTTGCGCCTTCGAAGCTTAAAGTGATGTTGCAAGACTAGAAGTCAGCACTTCTAAAGATGATGCTGGATGGGAAGGTGCTATTAACTGTCGTCCGCCTAAATTACCTCGGCAGCAGCGTGACAACGAATGGGAGCACGGTAATAGGGGTGGGTGCGCATATGTCCCATTGTCGAATGGCGTATGTTGGACTGAAGTGCTTGTGGCTCACACCTGATATTACGTTGGAGTTGAAAATTCGTGTTTAGTATGCTTCACTGTGCTCATTTCTGTTTATAGTTTCCAGACATGGAGTCTGCGTGCGAAATATGTTCGTTGTTTTGAGGTTTTCTACTATCGATATTTGCGTAGCATTGCTAAGATTAGATGGAATGACCGCGTAAGCAATACTTAGATGAAATATCAAGTATTGGGTACCAGTTTAGAGGATTTCTCATCGTAGTGTATCCGTTGAGTAAACTTTATTGTTTTGGGGCACGTGTTGTATATGGCAAACACACGTCTACTTTACCCTGTTCTATTTTTCGTTCCTTCTCATGAATAGAAGAAGCCACCTGGAGGTCAACGGATAACGTGACAGCTGGGAGTGAGAAATACAATATTGAACTTATTTGAAGTTGATGCCTCACATCTTCGTGTTTGGGGTTTGATAGATCCTTCAGCCAGTTTCCTGAAGACATCAAGCCGTTAACAAAGCCGATGTTTTGTTATTTCTCGCCAAATCACAATGATTGATCAATGTGCGCTTGTACAGTCAGACTCCGAACTTCATGTGTTGAATATAACAGCCATCTTTTATTGTCTCACAGTTGATACGTTCACCCCTGTCCACTTTGGAAAATTGTTCTCACTTTTCTTCGAGCAACATCCTAATAAAGACAAAAGACAGTGCGGTTCGCACTATTGTTGCTGTCGATGGAGATAGTGTAGGCGCAGACGATCTGGATGTTCATGATGATGCTGATGCTAATTGTGATGAAACAGGTGACATCGATGATGAAGCTGATGGCAATGATGATGATAAAC